CTAGTCGTCTCTATCTAAGTGTTGCTGATCGTCGTATCCTTGATTGGCATATGGCTAATTTAGAATTTGCTAATGCAGCACCATTAAATTGTTTATCATTGAAATATTGGGATCAAGGTAAAAATTTATATATATGGTTTAGTAGTAAAGATTATTCATTTTTTTCTTTGTTCAGATGATGAATATGAATTTACTGGTTGTCATCTAACTGGTAAATGAATTGACATATTGTAATAATAAAATTATTTTATTTTGTATAGTACGTAATGGTTACTCTATTTTACCTTTGGCTCTTTGTGAAAATCAAAATGTACGACTTAAACGAATAGTTAAAAAAATTTCTTATAATAAAACAGGTATGTTATATCAAAATGAACTGTAAAAGAGTACGTTCTCTTACGATGAGATGATTCCAAGTATAATTCAACAATCGAACTGATACTTTTTTTTGCGTCATTACCTAGAAGATTACGTCTTCCTATGAGGTTCATCTTAAACTATTACAATTTTATTTGGTAGTTCAATTGTGTCACACAGATACCTTGCTAGAGATAAAAATTAGGGAACATTGACAAAATATTAGTCTGATTGACGAGTCACGCTTGAGAACGTTTACTCACTAAATTTTTCTTCTTGAGTTATAGTTATGCTACTGCGAAGAACACTTATCATAAGGAATATACATCTGAAATGTTTCTTAATAACAGTTGCCACGAGTTTTTTTTTTCTGTAGGTGTTGAAGTAAGTGTTGAAAATGGTGAAGATTCAAAAAATGAAATGATTGAAACATATCGTGCTGAAGCAGTACTTGTTACTGTACCATTAGGTGTATTAAAAGAAAATGTTATTATATTTGATCCACCATTACCTGAAGATAAACAATCAGCAATTGATCGAGTTGGTTTTGGAAATTTGAATAAAGTAAAAAAAAAAATTCTTTCTTTATTTTTATTTATTATAAATAATAATATAGGTTGTTTTATGTTTTGATAAAATATTTTGGGATGCAAATCATACATTATTTGCTCATGTTAATGCTTCAACATCATCACGTGGAGAATTATTTCTTTTCTGGTGTTTTACTAAACCACCTGTACTCATTGCTTTAGTAGCTGGTGATGCTGCTAATGTTGTTGAATGTGCAACAGATGATGTTATTATTGGTCGTACACTTGTCGTTTTAAGAAATATTTTCGGTTCAGTTACTGTTCCTTCAGTAAGATATATGGATTTCTTTTTTAATGAGATTAGAAAGTAATAATCGAATATCTCTCTAACCATACAAGAGATCATTCACACCGAGAATGCATAAATCAAAAGTTGATGCCCTTTTTCATGTTAGGCTTTTATTGATAACTCATCGAAATAAATATCTTCAGTACTGATTTTTTAGAAACGTTCCTTATCTCGAGGTACAAATGTTTTAGTTTTGTAAAATCATGTCGCTAATAAATGATTTGATGTTATATATTTCAAACATTATTTCTTGTTCATTCTAGCCAAAAGAATCTTTAGTCACTCGATGGAAATCAGATCCATTTGCACGTGGTTCTTATTCATATGTTGCTGTTGGTGCTTCAGGTTATTTAATTTTTTTTCTAACAAAAAAAAAAGTAATACTGAATAGAATTTTGTTTTATTTATTTTTAAGGAGATGATTATGATACATTAGCTCGTCCAGTTGAATGTCCTGGTGATAAAATTTCACGTGTTTATTTTGGTGGTGAACATACAAATCGAAATTATCCAGCAACAGTTCATGGTTCATTATTAAGTGGTTTACGTGAAGCTCGACGTATAGCTGATGCTTTTCTTGGTTCGATATATGAAATTTCGGCACCCTAAATCTTTCTGTCTTCTCTTTTTTTTGTTCTCTTTAATGAAAAATTACCACTTCTATGTTGTACATTAAATGTTACTAAAGACAAAATATAATATCATATCAGATAATTTTTCGTTTTGTTGAGTAAATAGTCGCTGATAAACGTTTCGTATTTGTAAGTCGAACGTTCCTCCGTTGTAGAACTATTCGAAGATTATGTTTGGTATAAAATTGCTTGTTGTTCTTTTGGTTTCATTTTTGATATATGAACAAATTTACCAATGAAAAGTTACATAAAAAAATGTACTAGAAAGGATACAATAAAAAATTTATGGCAGGAAAAAGAGAATATACTATAATGTATTAAGGACAGAAACAAAAAGTGTTCTATATAGAAAAACTAGTTCAAGATATCGATATGCAACTTATAGAATTATTAATAGTGTTCCATTTTCTCAAGTAAAAAACAAAAATATTAAAGTAAAATTATATAACATGTTTTGTTAAGCAGTTAGATACTAAAAAAAAGGAAAGAAAAGAAGCACAAATAGCTGAGACAAGACGCGCATTTGTTGTCTATGATGCAGCTGTCTTTTATTTGTTAGTTATACCCACATTCACCCTGAACGACCGATTATTTAAAGATCCGTAAATGTTCACCAACTAGATTTTTGAGAAACCTAAGTAACTAGAATGTGAGTGTGGGTCGGTGTGAGTGTGAGTGCTGGTATGGGTGTGAATCTTTCACATGTTAGTAACATCTACACTCACACTCCATCCACCACCCACATCCGCCCACACCCATTACCCATATCCATCCAGCCAAACCCACACTCAACCAACACCCACCCACACCCCAAATCAAAAGAAAGAGAAAAATATAAGCAATCTATAAAAGTGATGAAGCATTGAAATTTATAGGAGTTTATGATAATTATTCAACAGAATATCGCACAAGTCCATCATAGCTTGTATTTTGATCATATTTTGCATAGATAGTTACATCTTTTGACCCAACTTTTATCTCTGTTCTTAAAACGGGATCTTCATATCCTTTTGTCTTCATCCACTGAGAATCAACTTGTAAATCTACATCATCTGCTCCAGGAATGACACAATGAATTGGTAAAATAGCGTCTCTTTTAAGTGTACCATGAAGTGGTTCATAAATTCGACATTTATTGGTTTGAAATTTAGCGTATGTTAGGGGAAATTTAATTGTTTTTCGAAGTTTTGTGACGTTGAGATCGAACTTCGCAACTGCATTGAACGATGTTTGAGAATCAGATTGACGTCGAGCATAAATTATGAGTTTGTGAAGACCTGTACATTGAGGTGCAAACAAAAGTTGCCACTGTTGTTTGTCATTATCAAACTGTGCTAATGCACAATTTTCGTTTTTACTACCATTAAATTCGATGTCACATGAAAGTTCAACATTATTGGGTGCTGAGATACGAATTTCAGTGTAAGATGCATTTTCAGGCCAGACAGCAGTTGCACGATTTCGTGGTGCTTCTATTTTAAGACCAAGCTCATAGAAAAGCGACCACGTAATTGGATAAGATAACGGTGGTGTTGGAATATTTCGAGCGTCGATTTTAAAGGATACAGCAGGTTCGTAGAGTCCTGTATCTGATTTTTTCTTAGCCATAATTTCAGCAT